TTACTAAAAAACCTAATTTTGTTACAATCCCAGTGTATGAAACAATTTCTAAAATTTATTCATTTTATATGTATGAGTGTATTGCCTGTATGTGTGTAAGTGCACCCATTCATGCAATGCCCATGGAGGTCAGATGATGTCAGATCCCCTGGGACTGGAATTACAGACAATTGTTAGCTGCCATGTGGGTGCTGGGAATCAAACCCCAGTCCTCTGCAAGAGCAGTCAGAGCTCATAACTGCTGACCCATCTGTCCAACCCCTCAAAATGAATTTTCAAGTGAACAATTTTTCTTTTCGATGATGTCACTATGTGGCTCTGGCTGGCCTGGTACTCGTTATGGAAACCAGGTTGGCTTCAAACTCGCAGGGATCTGCCTGCCTGTGCCTTCTGAGGCTGAGGCAGGAGGATCACAAGTTCAAGGCCAGCCTAGCCTATATACTGAAACCTTATCTTGGGGAGTGGTAGAAGAAATTTGGAGAGCTACCAGACACCGGAGCACTTGGAAACGTCCATGATCTCAAGCTATAGTTGTGTTCTCACCAAATTTGGTCAAGTCATACTAGGCTACTTTCTGGTGCTTTGAGTACAGGAAATTCAGTGATTTATGAAGAAAAGAGATGAAGTTTGAGGGCAGGGAGCTGAGACAGGGTCTCATGTAGCTCAGGCTGACCTTGAATTCACTGTGTAGTCGAGGATAACCTTGAACTTCTGGTCCTCAGGCCTCCACCTCAGGAGTTCTGGGATTACAGGCTTGGCAGAAATGCATTTCTTATGATTTTGGAGTCTAGGAAGTCCCAGGTAGAGCAACCACGTCTAGTGAGGGCCTCCTTGCTACTGGGGACACTGAGTCCCAAGGCAGCATTTAGCATCTCATAGTAGAACAGAATAGGTATACCAGAGAGAGCTAGGGTTTCTTAGAAAGCACTCCCTTGATAACTCATTGATCCACTAATTGACATGCCTCCTGAACAAACTGGGACAGAAATTGGTACCAGAGAGTGGAGCACTGCTGTGACAGACCTGATGTTAGAGGATTGTGGGAGCGTTTGAAACTTTGGGCTGGAAAAGCCATTGAGTTCTTAGAGTTTGTTCCTGTGCAACGTGGAAAAGTTGTGAAAGAGTTGTGGACTCTGGAGGCCTGGCTTGTGAAGCTTCAAAGGGAAGCAGAGACTATCAGGGCTGGTTTGTGTGATAATTTGAATTGAGAATTTGTTCGTTCTGGTTGGTTGAAGCTGAAGAATCATCTGTGATTAAGAAGAGACCAGAACCTGAAGTAAAACCTTTGCTGTACTGGGTCAATTGATGCTGGTTAGCTGGGGCTGAAAAATCAGTTTTAAGTAACAAGAGACCAGCATCACTGTGGTGAAATCTTCTGGGAGGTATTTCCTCAGGGTCAGCACACAGAGGGGACCTGTACCTCTATTTCAAGCTGGAAGCAGGACTTGATCCAGGAGGCCATGTGTGATTAGGGTCAAATTACATACAGTTGGCTGGGAAGAGTGGCTAGATACTGCAGTGAGGTCCAATGACCCTGCTTGGCCCTCTTTTAATGAATTAGCACAACCGTCAAAAAGCCCAATTGTGAAGATGTTTAGCCATCAGGCTCAGCTGAAGTTGTGATGATGGTAGTTATTTCATGCAGAACGGACTGCTGTATAGCCTCATCTTTTTAAAAGTACCTGGAATTTAACAGGATTCAGTGCTAGGATCCACATATGAGGGAGAACATACTTCATTTGTTTTTTAGAGTCTGTGTTACTTCACTTAGTACAACAGTTTCTAGCTCCATCCATTACCAGCGCCAGCCGGCCAAGACGGAGAGTACCTAAAAGGGGGAGTGAGGGTTGAAAGAAAAAACAAGAGACAGAGAAAAGATACTTGGAAGGACTGTCAGTGGAGACTGCAGCCCTGGTTTATTTTAGCTCCGCCTTTTTATACAGTAGAACGTCAGAGATAGCCACCGTTTGCTTAACTCAATTAGCTTCAACAGCTGTTTTTCCCACCTGTATCTGAGGGTGAAGGAGTGGTCAAATACTTGTTGTGAACTCCACCATTTAACCATCTTCCTTAAATTATAAACACATTCCTCCTGACTTGGCATATTAGGTACTGGTGTGCAAAACACAAACTCTAAGTAAACAAGCAAGCCTGCCACAGCTCAATGTACATAATGGATTAATAGCTCCCAACACAGCCTTGAGCTACTTTGCTGGACTTAGGTTTTGCTTAAGTGTGCC